GCATTCCTGTCTGCAGCCTCCCAATTCCAAGTGCCATTGGCACATACTGTTTTGACTCTGCACCCAGGCCTGAATACTTTTAACACATTCTTAAAAGGGAGCAATAAGCACAAAATTATTAAGGTATAACAAATCCTCCCCTCCCACTCCGCTGCCCCAAGAAGCAGCAGCAAGAATGAAACTGGATGAAAGTTAAGGAAGGGAGAGAGGAGGGGAAAAGACACAAAATACATGGAAAGAAACCTGAAGAAAGATTTCCCTGGTGGAACTACTGTCTTGGGGAGGTCACCATGACAGCATCCCTTTAAGAATTAACATTACTACACAAACCAGTATTACCCAGCCCTTTGTGCACCTGACTGTGTTCAATGAGGTTTTATATTTCATTGTTTTTTTTGGCAAAGCTTCATATGCTCACAACCTTAAGTCAACATTAAATCCAACTATCCAGTTATAATCATGAACTCTGTATGCAGTAGCTCCAGACGTACCACATGAAAACAAGCTGACTGAAACCCACAACTTCAGAGTAAACCACGCAACTTCTGAAAGAAGTCACTGTACTTAGAAGAAAGTTACTTCTTCATTTAGGAAGAATTTCAGATGCTTCATACTTTATTTGCTTTTTTGCCAACACAATGAAGGAAATGTCCTGCTTCTGCATGACTTTTTCTTCCTTGTTGGAACAGATGGTGAAGGCTTACAAATATATGACTGGTATTTTTTTAGTGACTCATACCTCAGAGCAACAGGCTTCAGATCATGATAAGCAGCCAACCAAGATGGATGTAAGCTTACTTGAGGAGCAGTATGACCATATAAAACAGAAGCAAAAACTGCAATCACACATTATTGTATTTAAAACAGGTATGCTTATATTTATAGGAAACAATGCAAATGTAGATGTAAAGACTATTGCTTTAAATCTTTAATAACTCCTAGCTTTGTTCTTTTTATGCTCAGCTTCAAGAGAGGTACAAACTGAATTCTTTCTCTGTCATTTTGGTTTTTTATTTGTTTCACTGAAAGGCGGTCTTATGTTTATATCAATTAGCTTCACGGCAGTGAAACACTAACATGAATTTGAAACAGATGAATGTATTTGAGATAAGGTTTTATAGGTTTTATGGCAGTAAAGTAAAATTCTAAACATAAATGGTAACTCTTACAGGAGCCACATACTTCATGTCTATCATCAGTGTATTTGTGCAATGTATTCTGTAACATTTCTACTCTCTTGAATGCTTCCATCAGAACAAGCAGTTCTGGGTTTTCTGTCTCTTTTTCCCTTCTTCTTTATCTGTATAAAGAAATGTGTCCTACAAGACTACAGGAAGCAATAGCAAATATCAAGTGACTAGCACAAGTTGGGGTTTTGTTAAAAAATAACTTATACTAAGAGTCATAGTGGGCAACTAAGATACAAGCTTTGAACAAGAGGTCCCGTTTTGAAAGTATTTTCACTGCATATTGCTTGGAAACTACATAAATAGGAAGGCAAATTAAAATATATACCACTCATCTGCCTGCTACATCAGGCAGATTTTATATAAGAAACTTCCAAATATTTTAAAGTTTTTAGTTAGCTACTGCTTACAATACTACAGTGATATATTTTCATTTACTTTCCAAGTTAAAGTGATATTGAGAATACTAAGTCAATTAATGAAGCTATCTTCTGAATTTAATTGCAACATGAAAAACATGCTTCGTTCACCTCTCATATTAGTATTTAGCTCAACAAATGCAGAACTTAGGTTATTTCATTCCTTACATTTTCCTCTACATTTTTCAGCAGTTCTAGATTTTGGCTGTGTCAGTCTATATCATCAAAACAATTGAAAAAACACATAATTATGAACTATACAACAGATTCACTTCTTCAATATTCTTTCATCCACATGTCTAGACATTCTTATGTGAAAAGAATTTAAATCTCTGAGAGGAAGATATAGATAGAGAGATATATACAAGCTTATTTTATCAGGTATGAAAAGGCAACTAACTTGAAGACAAAACAACCCATCTAATCAGCAATAGCAAAAGTGTTAGTCAGTTAAAGGAAGGAAGCAGAAGTCTGTATTCAGATTAATTCAAATGAAGCTTCGGATATAATGGATGTAATCAGAACAGATTTTTTGCAAGGACACCATTTGAAGATTAAAGAAAAGACATAAGAAAGTAGGACTGCACAGTTTCCGGGAAGTTTAAAATTCGGTAGGGCTGGAAGTTCACATACAAATATTTTCATATACATACACATAACCCAAAACACCCACAAAACCATATAACCTACTGCACTGCACTTTTATCTTTAAACAACCTGTGTGGAAAGGATTAATGTTACTGTTAGAAGCAGCTGAAGTTTGGGGTTTTTTTGTTATGCTGAGTTCTCACTGTCCTCAAGCTGATCTTATACATTCCTATGGTTTGGAAGCTGGAAAAACCTATTACATAGCTCAGCACTTTGAACCTGTTACATGCATCAGATTCCAAGAGCATGTCAAGCAGAAATGAACACTGCCATATCGGGATAGCCTACTGCCTTACGCTCCTTAAGTTACGAGCTTCAACTATCCAGAAATTCCAGCTAGTACCAAAAGGCAATCCATGTATGTACCAGTATTTTGTAATGGCAGTAAACTGCTTCCCTACTTAGAGGGTAAGATTATGGCTGGGCTGGGAAGGGGACGACAATGACAGCACCACCACAACCCCACACATACACACAAACGCCAGAGGCCAGACACAAAAGCCTCATGAGATTCAAACATCATGGAAGGAGGGCACCTTCAGTCACTCATGGTCTTAAAAATCCCTGCCAAAGGTCTTTATTGTAGCTAGTAAAACCCTAAATTGTTTCTGCCAGACAGACCAGCTGTCTTGCCACGGTATCACAGGGATTTTGAGCATTTCAGGTTTACTGCACCACAGCTGGAATGGTAACTCCAAGTTTCCTTGAGGACTTTTAGCTTTGTATGTCATTACCTGTTTGCCAGAGTCATGAAACTGTGGACCTTTAAACAGGACTTAAGATTCTCTAACTTCTCTGGGTTTTTGACTGGTGGGTTACTAACTGAGAAGTCACCTGAAAACAACTTTCTTCCATTCCTGCCCCAATACACACAGCCACATTCATGCTTCTGCCTGCTCCTGATTATTTGAAAACAAAGAGCGTGATAAGATTTGAAAGCCGCCAGCTAGGGGATAATACAGCAGTGTATTCATTATTTATTGGCTAAGAAGATGAAAAACAGTATTTACTTTAGGAATTAAATGGGAGCATTCAGCGCATGCAGTCACAACAGAATAAACACTGGGGCTCTGACTGCAGAAACCTCTTCCAAGAATTTCCCAAGCTAACTTGAAATAAGATTAACTTTTGTCACTCCAGAACATTAAAAGTCTCTGTCTATGATGACAGCATATGAAAAAGGCCAAATGGTAAACCCTGCAACAAGGCTATTATGCACAATTTAAAAAAAAAATAAAAAAATAAAGAGACCAAAGCTGTGTCTAATTAAAGCTTTGTTAGAGGAGTAGACAGTGCTGAATGTGTGTTAAGTCCACACACAGTGGTTCAGGACTCTAACATTTCTATCAGAAGTCGTTGCTCAATTTTGTGTGCCGCACCTGTAGCCAAGGAATCAAATCAAACCTGAACTCAAAACCAGCCCAGACTATTAAAATGGGACTAGATGCATTACTTTGAACTCTCCGATCAGCTCAAGCCAGATCATAATTCTTCAATGCCAGTTCAGCCAAGAGTGCAATTACATCCACAAGAACGTGCAAAGCTGCATCACCTCAGAGTCCCTCAGTTCCTTCTCTCTTGCTTTTTCTCTCACATATGCAGAACAAGCCCTAATTTTTGTATCTTGGTGCTATACTGTGCTGTTTTGCAGAACATGGTGGGATCTATTTTGAAGTGGACTTTCTGCAGCCACCCAAGCTCAGCTTTATTTCCTGGATAAAGTCCAGTCATAACTTTGATTCTCACTGCTCCATGATAGCGATCTGTGTGTTCTTATCGCTGTGAATGGTTTCACCCTAGGAAATTCTGTTAGCGTACTTCACTGTATAGACATATGTACAAACACATCTGTCTCTCTAAGCTCTGCATGTGCTTTAGTCTCCTTTCTCCTGGTAACCCTGCAGTAGAGCAGAAGATGTGAGCTGACACAGTTCTCACTCCCAGAGCCGTGCTGCAAAGCAGCTCTTATCAGATCAACCCTACGTGGTCAACCCAGGGAGCAGAAGAAATATCCGTGCTGGTGTTGTTGCTTCAGCAGTGGGAGCCAAAGACAGTAGTGAAAGCCGCTCCTTCGCCTAAGCCATGTTGTACAGGTTCATTTACTGCCAGTAAATCAGCTGCGGCTGACATCTTCAAATATCTCCTTGTAAAGATGGTACAAAAAACAGTTATAAAGGGGAGGCTGTGCTGTTGTTTTTTTTAAAGGCAGCATCCTATTTGAACTAGCTTCATTTCAAATTCAGGGCTACAATTCTTTTAAAATGGCTATTCAGATATTCTGTTTCAGAATATAATCAGCACTCTTCTATGTCTACTTTTTTCACTTTAATGCGCTTCATAACTCATACTGCAACAGACACAGTTCCTATAACTCAACCCTGTAAATAAGGTCAGCATTCTGCACAACCCCTACTTTAAACTGTATTTATAGTAATTGAAGTATATTTCATTAATACTTGCAATGCCAACAGCACTGTTTAGTGTAATGGTTCAGTTTCTATTCATTTTCAAGGCACAGAAAGGCAGTCATGTTCAGTAATCTGATGGCTGCTACATGTAATTACAGTAGCATTAGCATTTCTATCCCTAATATCTTATACATTTCTAACAGTAACTTTCATACTGACCAGATTCTCTCCCACTCTTACAGCTACTCTATGCCATTCATGGAACAAGCATTTTTTTCCTCTAAGCGATCATTCCAGCAACACTAGTGTGATAAGCTATTTACTGCACACCATTTATACTGACTACAATAGTAAAATTGCAGTAAAATATTAAAATACAAGCCTATGTGTTAATAATCCCTCATTAAGAAAAAGAAGAAAGAAATTCATAAATTGTTTCATCTAGAAGCAGTCACAGTATTTTTAAGTTGTGAATACGAACTTCGAACAGTATCAAAGAGAACATTTTTGTCTTTCAAATCACAGCACCTACCAACACACGGAGAAAGTCCCTGCTCACCTTAAGAATTTTGGCTTACAAGCAAATAATTACTGAAAGTCAATTCTCAATCTGTGTTGTTAATGAGTCTTAGAGTGCCAGTTAGATCAATATTGACTTGATAAATCTCCATTTTCATTTGACTAACCCTAGGGCACCATTTATGTCCCCAGAACTGCAAAACCGAGCATGAAATATTTCTACTCCATAACCTGGCATCAAAAGAACTTGCACTACTCTCAGCCACACATGGAAAGAGTACAGATAAACTCATCTGTTAAAGCTCTTCAGTTGAGTTTATGCCACAGAAATTACACCCTTAATCTTTGCCACCATAGTAATGTGCATATATGCATTTCTCTTGTAGGTGAAAATGAATCTGTTCTCCCAGAATCAATGGTCAATGCTGTTTTAATTAATAAAAAAGTTAGAAGATCAAAGTCGTTTACAGAACGTGTGCCTGTCAGAAAGGTCAGACTGGAGGCGACCAGCAGTGGCACCGTACAAGACAACTCACTATGGCGTACCCACCTGGGCATTCACCGCCTGGTGCAAGCCCCTTGTCAAGGGGTTTCCTGGGATCCTTCCCACTGCAAGAACGGACCGTGCAGTTTCAACAATCAGAGACTGATTTCACAGGGAAACGGCACCCTGCAACCCAAGGAATTAGAAGGAGCAAGTGAACTATCTGCGCTCAGTCAACTGGGAAGTTCAAGCACGTTGAACAGTTGCAGCAAAGAGAACGGCAGCAACATTTCAAGCACCTGCCAAAAGCCTCCTCTGAAATCAGCCACTTCAGCAGTTTGGACACATCAACACATTTCTTCTACAAAATGCATGCCAGCCCACAATAAACTGAACTTTTACCCTTTCCCTAATAAAAAAGGGCCCAGAATTTCTGAAGCAGCAAGGAGGCTTGGATTATATGTCTCACAATGAAGACATTCAGTAATACATAAAACTTAGTCAAAAACTTGACTAAAACTTAAAATAGCAAAATAGTCTTCCTAGTTACACTGATCGACCTGCTGAGGGTCTACTACTTTTATTAGCCAAGGAAGATCCTTACTATATAATCTGTTGTTTTACAGTACAGTGTAAAATGAGATGTTCTCATGAAGATGCTGGACTGCAATGACAGATAATCACTTTTGTTATTTGAGATATAAGAGCAATTTTATCTTTTTTTTTTTTTTTCTCCTATTTTCAGGTTACTGATTTTAGAAACTAAGATTTTATCACAGCAATATTTGAAATATCTGAAAGAGCTATAGCAAAGACAAGTAGAACCACTGATGAAGCAACTAGGCCAAATTTCAGAATGGTACTATTTAATTAGACAATAAACAAGTAACAAATGAAACAGTATTGAAGATGATTGGTACATATAACATATGATTTCATCATTGACTTTCCTCGAAAAAAGATATTCAAGATACTTTCTAATGTATGTATTTTTAAAATCAATGAATAAAACCTCTGCTCATTTCTACTGTTGTTTTAATGAGACTTAGTAAATGTCACCTTTTTCTTATATATAAATTCAATAATAACATATTGTTGGTTCCCATCTGTCCCCAGTACTTCATTAGAAAACAAAAGTCTGAAATAATTACTTAGCTCCCTGATATCGTGTATCAACATACCTTCCTCACCAGAAGTAGAAAGCATCTTTCTGCTGTTAGAACTGCCCATGCACAAAGGGGTTATAACCACCTCAACTGCACAAATGTAACTGTAGTAGTACAACTGGTTTTTATAGATAGGGTTTAACATTTTCCCTTGTGGCACAACTGCACCACAAACCTGTGCAAGTTTTTAAACATGCGTAGTTATTGCTGGTCTCCCCTCCTGCAAGATCTTTAGAGGAAGGAGACCCTCTTTTGCTGGGGCTTTTCAATGATAAAAACATGAGCCAGGTATCACCCACTTCTGGCTGCAAGTGTTCAGACAGGTCTCTTTCTCAAATGCAGGCTTCAGAAAAACTGAAGACTTGAAATGTCTCCCCATTTCATCATGACATTAATTTCAAGCTATACACCTGGCAGCCACTGGCTCTG